ATTCCACAAGCGAAACGTCATCAGTCTGATGGGCCAAAAGCGGTAAATTCCATGAAAAATTTTAGACGTGACAACGTTGCCGATTATCGAGGCAATTCACGGCGCATCCAGAAACTATCCCCTATGATTCGATCATGCGCACGGAAAAAGTGGGGATAGTGACACTACTGGGTGTTTTAGCATTCTAGTTTAGCAAGACAGCGATAGCAAGTGGGGTGAATCAGTGAAATAATAATGAAGTGATTTCGAAGCATACGCATTTTCAAGTATGCCACTTATCAAAGAACCCAAAAATAACAAAAAATATATTCGCAACGAAATTGGCCAAAATATTCCAAAGCGGGCTCACGGGCTATAACAACATTGACAAATTACAACAAGGACCGTGCGGAATTCTGCATGAAACACGTCTTTTGTTTGCTAGTTTCGAAAACAAAAGAATCGCTTTGTTAGTTGAAACGCAGGAACACGGGAAGGTTGAAACTTTATCGACTAATTATTATATTTAGCAGTTATCCGAACTTCCTGTAGGCCACACATCCATCCCATGGCCTGCATAGATATATATATAACGTTACGGCGATTATCGCATTACTTTTCTCGATTCGACGTTTTAATTTACAGTGTGTGTTTGTTATCAGATTCTGCATGTTATTGTTAACAGAAGAGTAATTGATATAATTACAGAGAAGTACAACTATTTTCACTTCAGGCGGAATCGTAATTGGATTATTAATACTTTGTAGTTAATTATAAGAGTTTCAAGATATATCTGTTCATCTGTTTACTTGAAGAACAAGGCAAAAACATCAGAAACATCGGTAGCGTGACCAAATTTAACATTCCTGATATGGTATAGCAGAAATACAACTATGTTTTACTCAATAATTTTAGTTCTAGCAGTACACATGACACTTGGTTTTTGAAGGTCTAATTTTTATATTGCATTTTTCCACCAAGTGAAAATCAACATCAATTTGTGTATGAAACAAAATCGTTTCCAGGTAGAAGGTTGCTTTTATGAACAACAGGAAGGAATGGCCATGGGAAGTCCCTTGTCCCCCTACCTGGCAGACCTGTTCATGAGCAGATTCGAAATGGAAACTAAAGAAAAGTCAAAGTATTTTCCTAGGATTTGGCTAAGGTATGTGGATGATATTTTCGCGGTATTCGATACCAAAAAATCGAATATCNCAGAAAGCTCCAGGATTTGGAAGAAAAATTGGTTGAAATAACCAAGTGCCCTCTGGAAAAAAATGATGAACTTCAAAAAGTCGTTAAGACTTTTCAAGTGGTATATAAACGTAAATGGCTTGCTTGTAAAAGTACAAAAAGTCGCTTTTTAGAAAAAGTCCACGAATGGCTTAATGGTGAGATTTTACTACCTACTGGCCCAGTACCTGGAAGTTCCAAAGGTTGCCCGAGCAAAGAATTCGCGGAATCAAGTGAACGCACAGAACGTAGTAAAACAAAGGAACTCAGAGACAACGTGGCTGTTGATGAACTGACTTATGCAGCACAGCTGAGTCATCGATCTAGTGGAAACAATGACATTACAAAAGTGACCAAAAGTCCAACCAGTGTGGTGAAGTTTCGTAAAGCAGCTGCTATTGGGAGTAAGACTGTGGCTACAAAAAAACACACGCCCGAGAATGCTTTAATTATTGAAACCGATTTGACCATGAATCAATATGAGGTGATTCATATATACAAAAAACATTAGTGAGACTATTGCAAAGGTAAAATTACAAGACTTGTTAGACCATACAGCATTGCGGACTCTGTAAATATTTAGACCCTATTCCTCAAATATATGCCCCTGATAAAAATTCGTACTTCGGCTTCGTCTTGATGTATAAATGGGGATGTGATAATTCCAACCAAATTCAATATAAGCAAAAGTTTGACGAAGAGAGAAGCAGTGATGCAAATATATTTTTGAGTTCCTTGGTACCTCTTCGACTGATGAATGGTAATCAAATAATATGGCAGAACACGCAACCTTCATCGCCAAGATTTTCAGGCCCATACGTATCAGTTATATAAAAGAAGGTAAAGATAACACGAATGGAGAAATTGAGTATATTGAGAACCAAGCACAAAAACTCGAGATGACAATCGCCTTTGTCTCATTTTTCAATACAAAAAAAAATTATTTTATCTTCAATATAAATTTGTCTTTATTTTTATTAAGAATATCACAATAGGTCAAGACAAGGCCACGTTTTAGGTGGCCATATTCATATTCTTGTCCATATTCTTCTTCATGATCAACGGGAGCTGTGGGATTTTTCATATTCAGTTTCTTAGAGTCTTTCATGTGTTTTATGTGTTCTGAAACACGTGTTTCAAGACACCGCCCGGTTTGACCAACATAGCATTTGTGACAGCTTCCGCAATTTAATTTGTACACAATGATGGATTGAATTTCTTGTGGTGTTCTTGTTTTTTGTTTCGAGAAAAATGCTTTCCAACTGTATTTTCATTTGAAGAAGCCACTTTTATTTCTTCTGTACTGAGTAGCATTCCAAGTTTAACAGATAAATGTTCTACAAATGGAATTTTGTGATATTTGGGTTTCACCCCTGTATTTTGGGAGGAGGAACTTCTTTCGATAATTATTTTTCTAAAAAGGGCTGTAGGAAAAATATTTTTCACTAGGTAATTGTCAATTAATTGGCGATTTTTGTTATGGAATTCAGAACTGGAAATGGCAATTGCTCTTGATTTCAAATTCCTTATAATGTCGATTTTACTATGAAAATTATGTTTCAAAAAATAATTTAAAATATCTCAGAATGTTCTCATATTCTGAACGTTTTTATCAGGTTATTGTTATTTACATGTCTCTTTTCAGTGCAGTGTATTTACTTTTTATGATTTCATCAATATTTTATTTATATTTTTCACCAGACTGTGCCAATGAGAATTTATTCTTCGGAAAATAAAGTATATTTTGAATGGAATTGGAAAAAAAAACAATAGGGATACCTTGTTTTTTCCTCATAATGATTTGAAACTAGAATATGTTCTATTAACGAATTGGCCTACAAGCGTAGTTCTCCCGATTTGAACTTACCCAAGGACAATTTAAATGCCTCCAGGGAGAAAGAGAGGTTATAACTGGCTTTTTATTTTCTAGATAGAAGTCATAGGTTATTAAACCCGTAAAACCTCATTTCTGTATTTTACAACTCGGTCTTTTTGCGAAACAGCAATAAAAATATATTTATCATTTGCATGAGTAATGACAATGACAATCAATATTCATCGTTTCCAGTAACGGTAATGGCGATAAATATGAGTAATTATGGGTGTTACTAGACAATTTGAATATCACGTTGTATTGGAATATTTCAGTTCATTATTTATCTTTCATGTTTACATCGGTGTATTATGCATTTGCTGCGGGTACATTTAGAAATTCAAATTTATTTTTTACGACTTGACATCGACTTGGGACTTAGCAGTCTTAAAAAAAAGTTTTTTGAAAATATAATCTTTAGAAAAATTCCTCACAGTGAACCTTAGTTTTTGTCTGTCGTAAAAAAATAAAATATCGATATGGCGGAGGTGATACAGGATGTTTTATTTTTGTGATTTTTATGAAAACCTGTTACAAAAAATAATGTAAAAAGTTTCAGAGGTAACAGGATTGTCTCATCTTTCATTCGTAGTACCTATGCTTATAAAATTATCACGGTTTCCATAGTTACCTAAAAAATTAGGATTCTTTGGAGATTTCTGAATGAGATCCAGAAACCACGGTGGCCAATAAATTCTTCCACTCTACTTCTTCTTCCATCTTCTCTGAAAGGTATTTCCGAAAAATTGCTGTATTTTAGCAAAAATCGTTATCTTCCAGTTGGCTGAGATAGACCAATTGATGTTCCATTTATCATATCATCCCATGGCTTGATACCAAAATGGTGCTGTAATCGATCGTTTCTTACTATTGTTGGAAATCACCCCCTGAAAAAAAAAATAACGCCGGCCGCCGCTGGTCTTCGTCAATTGATTGTGCCTTGACCAAGATCGCGCTCAACTCGAGTTTCGCTTTGCCATCGTTCTACATGTCGCGTCGTTTCGAGAGACTTCCCTATAGGCTTCCAGAGACTTCAATTACGATATATAAACACTACTAACAGGCAGATCGGGAAAGTCTTGATGGAAGCGCGGTACGAAGTGATTTAATAAGGGGATATACATTTGAATATAAGTCGGAAGTTTCAGTTGAAGTGTTTGTGTTGTATTGTCAGTGTTGGGGTGAAATAAAGTTGAGATCAATTGTACAGTGTAGTCAATTACTGACAAAACCATCGGGAAAACGTAACACTAGTTACGGAGTTTCTACTGTCAATAGTGTATGTCGAATATTTCTGTGCGGTAAGTTTGATTCATACGCCGACAAATTGTATTGAAAAATTCTGATCTACAAAATATTACTAGCTGTATTATAGTATCAAGCAAGAGAGAATGGTGAGGTTGCAATAATTATCTGCAGATCTATTGAGATTCAAAATACGTGTGGAACCTTCTTCAATTTGCAACAATAGTTGACGGGCATCATAACTATGAGATCATCGTTCCAATTGTGGTTGTCCAGGGATATGGCCTTCAAGATTTGATAATACTCTTGCTGCTTTTCTGGCGTTTCAGCAAGCGCCAAACTTGATGGCTAGCGATTGCGCAGGTATAAACTCTCCTAACTGAATTACTATTAGATTACCATAAAGCCCTTGCCGGCCAGTGCCGTACCTTTAATTAGGGGTTATTAGGGTAGTAATAGAACATGAGTCTAATACAATAAGTGGCCCAACGCAAAACACATACCTCATATCCTAGTTTCTAATCGTTCAACGGTCTGTTCTCAATCATAATAAAAAAAACTCAGAGATGACGCAAAAATGTCGACGCACGTAAAATATGACCTATATATAGCCCTACACGTTTTATTTTCTTTCTGATCGATCACCTGAATAATTTAAATATCTACTCACCGATTTCCGATATCCTTGCAAGTTCTTTGATTTGTCCTCCGGCATTCACGGTGGTAAGAAGGCCGGCGGGTGGAAGTGACGGAGAGGCGATGAGTTCATGTTGCACCCTTTGCCTGGCGATAGCGATTCCGACTGGGATATTGTTACCTAAAAGAAAACGACGTTGCCAGGTAAAAAATGAATGGTCGAAAGCATCCCTGAAAAATAATACCTAAAATAAGACAAGTCAATTCATTTCTTTGCTTCATTGTTCAATCATATCAATTATTACATCCTATATAGGAGTATGATTATCCAAATTAAGTGCGTGTCATTGACGACTTTATTATTGGAAATACGAAATAGACATATCCGACTTCGCTATGACCTTGGAAGAAAGTTAGGAAAGTTCTCAATGTTTGTATCCTTAATTACAATGAAGCCATTTTAAAATCTTTACTTTAACTGGTCTAAATCTCAAAACTCTAAATTCTGGAAAAGTTTCTAAGCAAAATAATTGACCTCAGAATGAATTAACCAGAGTAATAAGTACCTTAAAAACCATGCTACACTAAAATTACCAAAGCATGAGATCGTAAAAATGACATACAATATGGAGAACACATTGACAGCTAGAAAAAACTTTGGGAACAGTACCACTTTGACAAGGTGTTCTTCACCAATCAAGTTATCTTATTCGTTATGTAGAAGAAATTCACTCCTCCAAATACTATATCGAAGCTCTGAGTTCACCAGAGGATCATTGAATACGAAGCCAACACAAATGACGCCTATTCAAAACATTATTTTTGTCAATGTCAAAATGTCCTCATAACTTCACTTGAATGAAACAAAGTCAGACCGTACTGAAATTTTCGGACAGCAGTAATTTTGGTTTGCAATCACCAGTTCGCCAATTTACCATATTTTTCGCTATACTATAATTCCAAAATAGTAGGCACTAAATTATTAGAAATGACTGACGTTTTTGCCTTAATCAGTCTCTTGCAGAAATTATAATAATAATGGCTTTTATTGATGGTTCTATACAATTACAACCAATCAAACGGCAGGATTCAATATCTGCGTATGATAAATCATCAAGAACAGTGCAACATATACAGCGAACTTGAAATACAAAATATACATATTCTTTTGAGCTTGGAGAATGGTTGATTGATTTCGACATAATTCGATTAGTTGGATCTATTTATTATAAGAAGATATTTCTTTATCTTTCGTTTGAAGCTTCATAATGGCAGAGGTTTATATTCAATGGGTATCCGATCATATAAGTAGGCAATATGGTAAGTGAAAGATCCGCGAAATAGAGAAGTTTAATGTTGTCATATTATTAAATGTGTCTTGAATCTCAAGTTAAGATGGTGTACGTCAGTTCTAAAGGATATTTTTTCGAAAAGATAAGAGGGTTTCTTGTTTTGAGGAGTTTTTGAAAAAAATTCGCTGAATGAAATGTTCCTCTGGATTCCATATTCAACCAACCCACATCCCCGAACAGATGGGAAATGTGTTCTCTAATTCCCGGACCATACACCACGTCTGCGTAGTTGGCATGTTAAAGAACTAAAGCATCGCAGAGTATAATTTTACTTTTTTATTCAGAAATGCTCTATTAGAATATATAATTTTCAAATTTGCATAACTTCGTTTCAGAATTTACGAAATGTATGTTTTTAAACGAAGACTGTTGTCAAGTTTTTTGTAACTCCATTCAAGGGAAGTTCTGGTCTATCTATTACAATACAGATAGGCAATATTTTGTTGACAAGGATAATAACATATCGAGATCGGTATTAATTTGCCATAGGGCCTCGTTAATTGAATTCTCGTCGAATTCCATGTACAGCTGAGTATCATCAGCATACCAATGCATGGTTACAAATTGCAGTGATCTATGCAAATGAGATGCATATAAAACGAACAAGAGAGGGCCCAATATTGAACTTTGAGGAACACCGTTTTTAATTTGTTTCAAATCAGATTTTTTGTTATTATAAACAACTCTTTGAAAACGATTGCAAAGGTGATTTATCAGTAGTGCTACAGCATGTATTGAAAACCCTAGGTTGCCCAAAATGGCAAAAAGAAATTCATGGTGAATGCGATCGAACGACTTGGAACAGTCCAATGATATCAGAAGACAGAGTTTGTTATTATCAATAGATTTTTGCACATCATCCACAACTTTCAGGAGGGCGGTTGTAAAACTATGTTCAGGTCTGAACCCTGATTGACACTCAGGTAATATATCGAAGTCATTCAGATAATCACGCAATAATATATCAGAGAATTTAGTGCCTACTATTCTAGAATTGTACCAGAATTTGCGGAATGATGATCTTGAACTTATATTTAAAAAAGATGTCTCTCATAACTTGAAATTAAATTCGTCCAAGACAAAAATATTAGTTTTCCACCAAAAACTCAATACGATTGTATACATACAAATTTGGCAGTTGCTATCAATGATGTACCATTAAAGGCCGTTGAATCGGCGAAAAGCTTGGGTTTAATAATTGACAACGATCTCCGTTTCAAATCTCATGTAAATAGCATTCTTAAAAAAACTTTCACTTCACTGAAAACTCTTTACAGCAACCGGTTTACTCTCAATGTAAATTTGCGCAAGACTCTGTGTGAAACCCATGTCCTCTCACAGTTTACCTATTGTGATTTTTTGTATGGTCCTTTTGTCTTGATAATTAATTTAAATAGATTCGAAAGGTTCAGAATTACGGATACGGATTACGTCGGTATGACCACGTATCTCAAAAATTAAGAGAGTTAGAATGGCCCAATATGGAAAATCCTAGACGACTTCATCTATCCATGTATGTTTATAAAATGATGAGAAACGAAAATGATATTAATCGAAGGAGATTACTTCCTAGATCTCATACACATTCTATTAATGTAAGGGACAAGGGCTTACTCACGATGCCACATCATTCGACAGCTACTTTCCAGAGGAGCTTTACCTATACTGCTATCAAACATTTCAATTCTATCCCTATTCA